CTTTAGCGTCAAAGGTGCCACCAAAACCCTTCGTCACATATCCACTTGTGGTCCCATTGCTATAGTCACCACAATTCATACCGTTCATCACATATGGCAGTTGGTTATATCCATTTCGAGAATATAAACCTTGTTGTTGTAGCGGATACGTGTTTTGATAACTGAAATGCTTCTCATTCGAAATGATATCAAACAAAAAAAGCAAAACCTTGCAAATGCCTCTAAAATTCATATTGAGTAACAATTGCTGGTGAAGGATGGACATTTCAAGAAATGAATGATGACTAAATAAGATGAACAATCATATACACAATGGCTACCAACTTAAATGGGTTTATAAATCGAAATGTGCTTATCCAGCTGAACCTGTTGATGGTTAGTGGTTGATGGCTATGATAAAGAGATACTGAAGAATGAGTGGTAGCGAATCGGTGGCTTTGATGGTGTAGTAGTAGCACGCACTCCCAGTTAGGATAAGACGCGGGTTGACCTCCCGTCTGCGGTCGGACTTTTGCTGATTACTCAATGCCCTTAAGTAAGTAGTATATCCTGCCTTATCCTCCAGATTGGAAGACTGCGACCGAGTGGTTAGTGATGATCGGTGCACGATTGACCGCCGCTGATTATTACAGACAGAGTGGTAGCACAACGGGAGTTCCGGCAGTACACGGCTTAGCATGCCTCGTAACGGGTTAGACGCGGGTTCGATTCCCACTCAAAACACAAAGTTTTGCATATGACTCAACATTATTGGAAGTGAATAACAGTGCGATGAGCGCAGGACACACATGATGTTAACTATTATCTCGTTAACAGAGATTTTTTGCCCCGTCTAGGTAAGATTCAGTGCTGCTGGTCTACATACTTAGTGGATAACAAAACAATCAAACGGTGAGTCAAAGAAAGCTGATTACTTTACGACCCAGAATTTCTAAAATGTCTGCTTTTTCCTTCGCTACTTCGGTTAGGAAAAGTGTTTGACTAAGTTGATTTTCCAAAATTCATTTTGTTTGACCGCCAACTGCGGCAGTATGCTGTTACAACTAACTCAGTAGAGTGGTGTGCAGAAACATTTGCATCAGCTGGGATTCAAACCCAGATCTCACTCTTACCGGGAGCGCGTGCTGAACCGTCGCACTACCGAAGCCCGTTTAGATACTACTCTTTCTTCAAGTTGACTTACGTTCATATGACTCTTCTAGGCTCTGAGGAAGGCAAGACTACCGAAGCGGTAGCCACCTATATAAACTCTATTGGACTATTCTGCACAAAATAAGCTTGTCTCAAAACCTCGCGTTTGCTGAAGAAAAGAAAGTACGGAACTATTCAATCAATGCCGAAGTTAATCGATAGTCGGTCTTAGGGGATTGTAACAGCGCACTGCACTAGAGGAGCTCAATAGTACAAGCTCTGAACAAAGAGTTATAGTAAAGCGGTGGTTTCGACGGTGCAGTGGTATCACGCGCCACCGGTATGAGCGAAATGAGAGTTCCACTTCCGAATGGAGTCGAGTGTTTTGCATACTACTCAACATCCTCAGAAGCTTAATCTCTTTTCCAATGACGATGTTTTGAGTAATCGAAAGGGAAAGTATTACCTGGCAGGTGGAGCACCATTCGAAAGTGTCAGCGATTGAGCATAGCCTGGTGGAGGAATCGAGAAGCCGTTGGCGGTGGGTTGATGGCCATAATCAGGCAGGCCATTACTGACAGCAGTCGTCGAGGATCCTCCGCTGCTGTTTCCGATTAAACCGTTATAAGCTCTCTGTGTCTCCACCGAAGCAATATCTGACCATTGCCTAAGAGATGAAATGAACTATGCAAATCAATGATGAATACGAAAATCCGACACTGCCACTACGATACACAAAGTAAAAAGCCGATGCAGTTGAGTTATCCTGTACTTTCCTTCACATTTCGAAACTTCTGCTAATTCATTTGTTATTTAATGGAATGCAGCCATTTGCTGGGGACAGACTGGACGCTTTTCTCCCAAAAACACCGAGGCTAGCGACCAAAGATGTCAGTGAGGTCATCTTTGAGCTGGTTGAAATCTTTGAATTTTTCCTCCCGCAGATGCTGCTTCAAGGTGCGGAAGAGATAAAATTCAGATTACACATTGTGAGGGCTACACGGTGGATGTGTACCGTGGCCCGGCCCAGCTTCTCCAAGATTTCGTAAGTCGACTTTAAAGTGTGAAGTGGTCGATCGGTCAATGCATGGGATATCCTTCAAGACTTTGCGGTAGGCCATTTCATTCAGAGGACCAGCGATACTGCGGTTGTATCAAGGTGTCTGGCTAAAGCTACTCATGCTTCAAGAAACTATAGCCTTTTGGTAACAACCCAATTTGAGGTTGGAAAAATCTAACAAAACAATAGTGCGAAACAAATTATGGGACAATCCTCTGGTTATCGATTATTTGATAACATATGGATAACATAATTTCTATACAACAACACAGTTAACCCAGGATTGAGATTTTCAACCCATCGGCTAGGCAGCGTAGTGCGAAAACGATAGGCGCGAGCCCAGTGCTGTTCGGAAGACTTACAATGATCGGCACATCCTCAATGAAAATTTGACATCTTAAGGGATGAAGAATAAAGTTCTCGGCGTTGACCCTAACTGATGCACCATGAATTCGTCTTCTATCTTTAGCTTCGTTTGGGGTGTCTGAATGCCAACTGGCCCTCATACTGACTTGCGGTGGCCTACCGCTGTGTGAAGTCAGTGCTGCTGATCCTCCCGGACAAGTCTGAGACCAGTCTTGCACCATTTACTGACCCTAAAAGGACAGATGACCTGGTGAACCATGAGCGCGAGATCGAACCATCGACCTTGTATGCGACGGAGAGCACCTCTAACCACCGCGCCACGCGCGCCCTTTTGTTACTCTTTTAGCAAATTTAGGTCTTAATGTAACGCTATTGCCATCAAATGAACGAATATCACTGAAGAAACTCCTATAAAAGCACACAGGGCAAAGCATCCGCCAGTCAAAAACGACCGCTGTAGCGAAGGGGTTACTACCAAAACGTGGCCTTAATTAGCCGAAACGGTCTCTTAATGAAAAGCGGCTGTAGTCGATAAAGGAGGTGGAGTCGCTGAACACGCCCCTGGTCCACGGAAGTTAACCGTTTAAGCATCGCATTGAACACCTTTTACACGTGTTTTCTTGGATCAGAAACGAGCCCTACTGTATTTCCTTCAGAAAAAAAACAATAATTAACAGAAAATGGACCGATAGAGGTTCGAACTGCCCTGTAAAAATCGATCGATATGGCCCTTCCGAAAAAGGAGAAATCTCAACTCACCCCGTGTTTTGAGCGGAGCAGCCATAGAACGGCGAGGAGGTGAGCTGGGCTGTTGTCGAATTCATCATCAGCACGACCTACTGAATGATCTTCTGGATCAGATCGCCGAGAAGAGAAGCGGATCTATCGACGACCACCGAATATTCCACCGACAACCGACAAGCACCAGCCACGAATGCGAATAGGAAGCTGGGCGATCCGGAGAAGAAGCGTTCGTCACCGCCGTCGCCGCCGCTTGCGTAACGCGGCGTCAAACGATACACCAAATTACTGCGTAACAACACGTCCGTGTAGACTGGAATGACGTAGTGTTTTATGCTTGCCTAGTCTTCGGGATTGTACTAGGTTGTTCCGTGATTTCTTTCGCTTGTCTATTTGACCCCAAATCATTGCCGAAACGCCGTGGTATGTTGGTCGATAGGATCGCGTGTGGCGCAGTGGTTAGAGGTGCTCTGCGTCACACGCGAGGACGATGGTTCGACCTCACGCACATGGTTGGCTTACCAAGCCATCCATCCCTCCGAGATCGATAGATTGGTACCAGACAGGTCCCAGAGTTGTCTGGGAGGATAGGCAGCACTGACTTGGATACAGCGGTAGGCCACTGCGAGTAAATGTGAAGGCCAGATATGCATTCAATCGCCTCAAACGGAGCTAGAATTTGAAGACGACTGTATGGCGCATTCCTTAAGGATCGATCAGCGCTGAAAGCTATATTCTTTATCCTTCTTATGTGATGGAGTGTTCCAGTAGCTTTAGCCAGGAGAGTATGAAAGGGCACGCGCGCCGAAGGAAATTGGAATTGATTGAGAATCGAAATGGATTAACGTCAGTTACGCCTCGATTATGTTTTACGGATATAAGTTGGAGATTAGTGCAAGGAAGTTGGCCGAGATCAACGCTGCGTTTGCGCCAGGCACTATCACCGATCGGACTGTGACCAACTGGTTTCAGCGCTTCGAGGAAGACGATACGAGCTGTCAAAATCAACCTCACACTTGGTGGCCAGACATCTCTGACGAAGACGCTCTGCGCCACGAGCTGGAATTCAACTCGGATGTCAGTACCAGCAATTTGGAGCAGGCACTCGGATTCGGCCGTAGCAATTTAGCCCTTCATCTGAACGAATTGGACTATCGCAATGCAATGACTCGATGGACATCTCATGCATGGATCGACCACGACTGCGCTGGAGCCGTGACGATTTGCGAAAGTATGGTGGGGCCGCACACACACGACTTTCTCAAGTCGATCAAATGATATATGTTTTATTTGACCGCTTATAGCGGTGATATGATGTTTCAAATACATACGCATTGATGTGGAGCAATGTTCAAACTTTCGCGTCAGCCGGGACTAGAACCCGCACCGTTATCTTTCCGGGAACGCGTGCTCCATCCGTTACACTACTGACGCCCATTTTGCACATCGCTCTTTCTACGTTTCTGCGTACCTCTCTGACAGCCGCCACATCGATTGCTCCACATCAATGGGTATATATTTGAAACATCATACCACGGCTATAAGTGATTAAATAAAACGAATATTATTTGATCTTTAATATCCAATATCTGTAAGCGTGACTGGGTTCAATGTCGATATCGACTACCCGGGCTAGGCCGTTGATGGCTGGCAGCTGGCAGATAGGTACGCTGAAGCGTAGAAAGAGCGATGTGCAAAATGGGCGTCAGTAGTGTGACTGATAGAGCACGCATTCCCAGAAAGAGTGAGGTGCGGGTTCTAGTCCCACCTGACGCGAAAGTTTTGCACATTGTTCTGCATCAGTGGGTATATATTTCTCGAGTCGATTATCACTGAAGATGAATCCCAGGTATACCGTTTGGGGCTGCCTCGCGATTAAGATCCGCCAACTCAATCGAAGCTCAAGTCCCATGCTCCGAAGATTATGCGCTATTTATTTGTTAGACGGCGACAAATGAATATTCGACCACAATAGCTCAATAAGAAATGTTCATAGGAGTGTTAGCAATCATTAGAAAGCTTAGATCTCTGGCTATCACTGATCGTGACCGCTTTTTGAAAAAGGTTCTTTTATAAGGCCATAAAATTCTATAAGATAATGTTCCACACCCGCCGTTGCCTCCATTTTTCTCGATGCGTAGTATGCTGGAAGCACGAAAAGCATATGAGCGTGTAGAGGAAATTTCGTAGTATCTGAGCTATTTGTTATATCTGGAGTTTCTTTCAAAGCGGAGAAAAAAGTTTCCAATTGAAAAACAAAAATTGCACTCGTGATTGCTAACGCGTCAGGCCATCGATCGATCGCCCAGCCTCCCAGTCCGTAGATAAGCTAAAAAACGAATACCCGCGTATGTGGATCAATCATATTTTCCCTGCTGCAGAATTGTGATTCCAGAAAATAAGCACACTATTGGAATCGCTAAATTTCACGCTGTCGAATGATTACTTATAATGTAAAGAAAGAGCTCTGTCTGACGAGAAATATACGCGTTTGAAACACAAATGTTTTCTGCTACTGTGATGTTAGAAGAGCTTTTTCGAAAAGCGAACACATTTTTGAGTTCTTTAGACCTGTTCTATCGAAAGAGTATTAGTGTCTAAGGAAAGAGTTTTGTCCAGCAAATTGTCTGAAAAAACCGCGTGGTACATGCGAAACAACTTTGGTTTTTGCAGCGTTATGAAAGGGTCTTTTTCGAAAAACGACCACATACAGCGCTAGCCAGAGATTTGAGCTTTCAAATAATTACTAACACTCCTGTGGAAAGTTCTTTTCAAGCGACAAGGATTGATTTTTCATTTGTCGCCGTCTAATATATAAGTACCGATTATAATCTCGAATTTCTGGGATTGGCAAGACAAGCTGTTTTGTGAATTGTGCGACAATAAACAGACAATCACTACCGACGTCCGCCACGGGACCAACTCCGGAGGCTGGCCGCAGCAGTGCCAGAGAAGCTCCCGAAACGTCTCAGTGTCGCCCTTCTTCAGAACAGCGTTCGAGCTCACAGTACAAAGTCGACTCACTACATTTTGGAGAAACTGGGGTAACACGGTCTCACACCCGTCTTCTACCCCTGATTTGCTATATCGGATTATCATCCTTCCGCGCACTGAATCTGCTAATGAAAAAGTTCAAAAACTGGATGACTGATTTCTTCAGATAAATAACGACTGAATTAACGAAAGTGTCAAAATGTGGAAGAAATTATGGGACAACCATTACGCTCTTTATTAATCTTTTGAGGACCAAGAATACCACAGATGGCACGCTGGCCTCTTTGTGGTTCTTTCGTTAGGCGAAGATTTTCCACTAAATTTTTAATGGTCATTCGATCTTAAAACGCCCTATAAAGGGCTCTACAGAAATCAAACCTGGCTACAAAATCTCTATGATTTAAGTCATTGAGTGATTATTGAAAATCAACTGAAAAGCCATCCGCAAACCCTAGCCCGAGTAAACCGAGAAAACCAAAGGTGAACGACATACTTCCTCGTTTCTATAGCGAACTGAGAAGACCTGTTCAATCAACAAGTTTCGAAATCGTCGTTTTCAAACTATCGAATAATTCTTACAAGTCTAGAAGAAAAGCTTTCCCAACGAAAATCGATCTTGAAAGGGTCAAGCCAAAAGCATCAAGTTGGTCGAAAGAATTCTATGACCAACGTTTCGATGTCTTTGTCTTCTTCAAAGCCTCTGATTAACAGCGATTCGAATCAACGTATCATCGTTATTCAACTTTTTTTCGACTCACGTCATCCGCTGCAAGAGGACGAAGGGATATTAAGGATCGTTCATCAACCTTGCAGTATCAGCTAACATAAAAGTAACTTTTATTAATCGGTAATCCCGAGGCTCAAAAAAGTCGGTTTTTATCTTCATAGTTTTTTCAATGTTTCATATTTGAGACAACAAGTCGGATGAGACCACCTTTCCTTCACGCAACACAACACCGGTTAAAATCAAAATATTGTTAAGAAAGATTGGCAATAAATAAGAAGTTAAAAGTTGTGGTTACTCCACTAGTCAATTTACGAACAAAACATTTTGGAAATCAGTATATGCTTGGATATATCTATGCATAAATATATAGATAAATAAATAAATATATACGTATGTATGTAAATGTAAATATATAAATATACACATGCATAAACATATATATGTACATATATGTATATATATATATATTTATTTAATATATTCACAGATTTACCAAGCCTTTTTGAGATTTGGTACTTCATCTTAGTGATATGCGTGCGTTTCGACTACTTCATCTGTGTCCTCAGCATAACAGTCTCTGTACTAGGAGCAGCAGAGAGTTATAGTGCTGGACAAGTGAAACATCATGTCTCGCACCATCTTTCTTTGTGCTGATGTTTTATGGCTGTCATCATAAGAACTTTCCCTTTATTCTGTTGGTTTTTTTCAATTTTCAAAGATGATCAAAATCCTTGGATTAGAAGACTTTGGGAGTTATTTTCAATTAAGACCAATCGAGGAGGCATTTGGCTTGAATTACTTGTCAGACGTGTCTCTCCACAAGCTTCGATCAAGAATCTCGACAGTTGAATAACTTTGAGTTCGAGTTAATCACGTTTGGTTGTTGTCCGAGTTAGAAGTTAGTATGGGGTCGTGGTAGTGCATTGGTTAATGATGCGTCGTCTGATAAATCAGAGTGGTAAACGGGCCGTGGGCTCGAACTCACCTCAACATTCTCTTGCAGTCAATCACTCGAACGCCTTAGGAAACGCCTAAGCTCGGCTACCTCCCACATTGCAAGGAGAATCTTCTCGATCAGCGTTTTACGACATTCGTGAAGAAAACAAAATCGTTAAGCAGCAGTCGAACAGAAACACGAAAAGCACCCGAAGACTTTTGTGTAGGATGAACGATCAGATTAATCGAATACACAGTTTCCTTGAATCCGCACAGTAAATTGTTATGACGGGTTGTGTAAGTAAAATTAGTTATAGAAGTTAGAATGGTTACATTTGAGTTAGAAATACATAGTAGTATGAAAAATGGTCGTTGTATCAATGGAAAGGTAGAGTATGAAGTGCTCATGGAAGTGTATATTTTAGGTAGTGATATTGTTACTACACTCGTTGTGTTTATTGGGTTTTAGACGTTATGATGCTTGAAACATTTTTTTTGATCTGCAATCTACTAATCATGCTTACATAGAGTTCATATCTGCACATAGACTTAACAGTCTTTATATACACGTTACATACCCAACTGTGGTCGAAAATCTCTCCACATAATTCATAATCTTTTGAGTATAGTCATTCTCACAGTCTTGCTTTGCCGAGTTCTATGAAAAGTCGGTCTTCGGTACAGTTTTGGTCTCGAGATTCATTTTTCAACACTTTGAGAGAGGACCCAAGCCAACGCGTTTTTTGACTGAGGCGTAAGGAAGTGTCAGGTAATCGGGCGATTCGGCCTCTTGCTTCCTGATGGCCCACATTACAATTCATCCCGCATCGCTCTTCCTCCCTCCCGTTCTCACATAGAACTTGCGCTTGCAACATATGAATAAACTGTGCACTAACGGCAGTATATGCATTTTTTGATGTCCTAAATGATACGCACAAGGATACCGAGTTGCGAGCACACCTTGGATCATGATATATGTATATCTTAAGCTTAAAACACGATTAAAGTTTCACGACCACCAGGTATGGGCACTACACCATCAAGGCTTCGATGTGCTTTTCTCAGCGCTGCTTCAATATTATCGGTCTACCAATAATAAATTCGGTCTACCAATAATAAATTTTAATGACATAATATGGGCGTTATGGCGCAGTGATTAGGGCCATCCTGCGAAGCGCACGCGGTCGAAGGCTTGACCGTGCGCCTAAGGCTCATTGTGCCTTCCATGCCTCTGGAGCTGGCGAAGTCCTACTAGACTTGTCTGGGATAAATGCTCTGAGTAGATGAGAATAAGACATAGCGACTTCTTCACTTTTGCGCAACGAATAGCGAGAGTCTTTGAGCCCTTTTATGATCTGCATGGGCTATGGGTGGCATCGCGGTATCGTTTAGCGTCCCAATGGGAATTGAATTGTTCGAGCATGCAACATTAAGCTTTCCCCTGGTGAGAGAAATTCAAAATTCATTTCTTACGTTTTCTGCTGGGGTTATGGAGGTTTTCACTCAGTGGATTGTGGATCATTTTAATCTTTACTGGCTCTGAAGAATTCAACTCACCGAGACGTAAGCCACCACAATTATTGTAATATCCATGCTGCATTACTAACTTTGTTGCTGTAATGCTTCGCTAATATTCAATAAATAGTATCACTAACACCTCGGAGCGGCTTAACAGAAGAAACCACTCATTTATTCAAATTAATAGATAATCGGTCCTGCAATTGAGTTTTCCCTTTGCACCTGTCTGGCGCAAAGTAGTCTGTTCTCATCCAAATGATTCTAGTGGGCAACGGCTCTTGCCCATCGGTTATCGTTCAGGCCTATTACGTGTTCAGTCCGCTTAATTTTCGACACTTGATTTATGATCATGGTACTAAGAAAATTCAAGGTACTGCTGGGTCATTTGGATGTGTTTCGCGCAGTATTTCATTACTCTTCCCGAGGCAAACGCAAATAAATTACAGCGACATGATATGAAAAGGTGAGCCCGATGCGGGGCTCGAACCCGCGACAGCCAGATTAAGAGTCTGGCGCTCTACCCGACTGAGCTAACCGGGCCGACGGCAGTCAAGCTGAAGGGCTCAATAGTTGCCTTTGCCATGTGCTACTAATTCAGTAT